AGATGAATGTTATTTTTAAGTAGTGTTTAGAAGGTGGGCAGTTTGGACGGAAGGACCCAACTATGAGGAGCAGGGTATTTGTCTTTAAATGTCTTTCTCGCAGCTAAACAATCATATAGAAGACTGTATTTCATCAGGATAACAGGAAGTCCTGATTATATGTATTGTATATGTATGTCTTAAGGTGTAGGTTTGCTTGTGCTGCTCGATCGCTGTCAGACACATCTGACACAGTCCTGATGCAGCAGATTAGCTGCATGTTTTTTTAGGAGGGTTTTCCAAACTTTAAAGAGTAACATAGAGCACCAGATTAAAAAGCTGTATTTTTGTGTATTTCACAGGCGATGAACAGCACTGATAAACATTATGCTTCTGTACTGTAGCACATGTGTATTTACAGATTTTAACACTTCTTCTGTCCACATAGGGCTTTCACCCTTCCCTGCTGCTTTCCTGTCATCATGGTGGACTTGTTCCTGAACCGAGTTCTAGTCGAGAACAACTGGGATCAGGATGAACTCAACACTGAGCGCGAAATCATCGGGATCCTGGAAAACCGCATCGTGCTGCTGTTCTTTGCCTCCTCCGAGTGCAAAAAGTGCCAGGAGTTTGTTCCTGTTCTGAATGAGTTCTTTACAAGGCTGAAGGATCCGGCCTACATCGAATACCCCAAACTGCTTGCACTCATCTTTGTCAGGTTTCTGTCTTTCCTTCATTTTTTCTTAGCTCTTAATGCAGGGATTTAATTTCACTGTTTTGTCATTTATAATATTTCCATTTCCCATGTCCTCTCTCTCTGCAGCATGGACCAATCAGAGGAGCAGCAGGAGAGAGTCCTCAAAGAGATGCACAAGAGGGTTCTGTTTCTGGTGTTTGAGGACCCGTACAGGAAGTAGGTGGATGCTAATGTGTGAATGTGTGAGAAGCTGCATAAGGCTTCGGGGCAAACTCAGTTCAATATGACAATGGAATTCAATAAAGCACGTACCCCTGCCAAGACCCAACTTGCCTGAATTTCAATCAAGCAGCACCAAATTGTACAAAATCATCAGTATCAGTTTCCTAACCATGCTTGATTGTTTTCCATCAAGATCAGTGAGTTATGTCCTGGGAAATTGGTGAACATGTCAAAAAAGAAAGCCCCATTTTGCGTGTTAAAAAAATTGATTAAGCTAATCCTGGACCAGCCTCTTTGTCCACATCTACTCCTAAAATGTAATGGTTTCTTTCCTGGTCCACGTCCCATTCTTCCACTAAGAAAATAAGTTCAGTAATTTTTAAGAAATCAAACAAGATTAAAAACATTTACTTCCTTGGTGGAGGTAAAAAAGTCTGTTCCATGGAACAATGATATTTCAGAATTATTTGCATTTGAAATACATGCACTTTCTTTGTCTGTGCTTCAGGGAGCTGCAGGCCATGTTCAAGGTAAAGGACGTTCCAACAGCCGTGGTCCTTCGTCCAGACGGCTCCGTCCTCTGCCCGAACGCCGTGCAGGACATCTGTCGGTTCGGCTCCGACTGCTTCAGTAACTGGCAGGAGTCGGCGGAGCTCATCGAGAGGAGCTTCATGCTCAACGAGGAGTTTGACAACCTTAATCTGCGCAGTGCCACTGAACCTGTGAGGAGACTTAAGTACAAGACAGAGGACGACAAGAGAAAAAAAAAATGGTGGAAGTTGTGGGGCAAGGCCAAAGATGGATATACAGAGGAAGAAGAGAAGGATGAAGAGTGGGATGAAGAGAGAAAGGAGGGAAATAAAGGACCATGGAGGAGAAGATGAAGAGAGAGGGTGTAAAAAAAAAAAATAGAAAAAGACAAAACCTTTTGTGTTGATCCTCTCTAGTAAGGATGTCTTACTGTACTTCAGGTCCAGTGTCCTGTGTAATTTCATTTCATTCACTGAAAATGCAGCTTATTCAAGAAATATTTTCCTGCCTGTTGTAGCACGTACAGAAGAATCTTAAAAGGGCACACTGAGCTTCTTGTCATGTAATGGCATGTAGAAGCATAACATAGTGTACAGTGTGGTTGTATAGATCACAAGGGAAAAGATCCAGATGCTCACTCTTAAGAAATCTGCCATGTTGCTGTTTCTACTGCTACATATTGTATTTCTTATATTATGATTATTCTGTTATTGAGGTGTTAAAATACGATCCTGTTTAGTTTTATCAATTTGCCTATAATGTCTGCAGTTAACTGAGAATGAAAGGTTTTCAGCCATTTCGGCTGAAAAGTTTTCAAACACACATGTTCAGAACTTGTCTCTGCGGAATTTGTTGCATTCACTTGAGAAAAAATATGCTGCTGTTTTTCTTAATGTATTAGATAGCTCAAAATCCTTTTACTTTCCATCTGATCAGTCTCAGAGTCTTGAGGTTTCTGCGCAAGCTAATAACAATAACATCTATTTCGCTTTAGCTGTTTTTTACACGCACTGAACTCTGGAGATTCTCTGCACTTTCTCTTGTGGAGGATTTGAGAGCCTCCAGATCATCTGCAGACTTTCTAGCCCCTTAGTAGAGAATCCGCAGAGAGTTGGGACAATACGATGTGAGAACACAGTGGAGGATCCCCTGCTGGATTCACAATGAGTGAGTGGGGGGTTGTTGATGCTTCTAACAGGCAACAGACGCAAAAACGAAAACACAAACAAAAAGAAAACAAATATCTCCTTGTGAAAAAGTGGTGTCACACATAAAGAATTCACCATCAAAGATGTCCAGAGAGTTTGTGGTGCAAAGAACCGACACCAGTGTCTTGCCTCTTGCCTCTGCAGCGGAGTTAATACATCACTTCCTGCCTCTGCCTGCTGCACACGGCTGCTCCACCCCTCGCCTGAATCCTGTGGAGGATTTGCAACTGTTGTGAAGGTGTCTGTGCAGAGAACCTCCTGCTGTGTTGTTCATGTAATAGAGGATCCTGCGAGTAAAGTCCGGACTTTATCCATAAATACAAGGATCTGCCAATGTCTTAATCCCAAACCAAAACCAGGATGGCACTCAGTATTGTGCTTACCTCCATGAAGGCACCAAATTTCACAAACTCATTTATGTCAATTCCCAAAGATCCAAGATCCATAAATTCTTTTCTGGGGAAATGGTGAAAATATTGAAAGAAAGTAAACATTCTTGATCTGCCCCTTTTCCAGATCCAGACCAACATTTATCAAAAAACAAACAAACAAACAAATGGACAGGGGTGAAAATCATAGACTGTATGTAAGGTAATAAAACAGGTAATAAAACTGGATCAAACTACACAGGTGGGACATGCTTGTTCCGATGAGACTAAATGAGAACTTCTCTTTTTGAGGTATAGGCTATCTCATTAATTACGAAAAAGAAGAGCTGATTCTTTTTTTTTTTTTTCATGAAAACCCTATTCTGAGATAACAATGTCATTAATTGAGCAGATTTTAAATTATATTTTCTTTTTGAGTGCAACATGCCCGGAACATACAAGCACTGATATATGTGTTTAAACTGCTTTTCAGGAGACAGGAATCAAATACCAACTCAACTGTGCAGCTCTCCAGATTTATTTTAGCTTTTATTTTATTCTGTTGTTCTCCTTTTCAGACCCAGTAACTCACCTCATATAACTCCATCTCTAGATATGTCAGGCAACTGTTTTGAAAACTACAACCTAAGTACAGACGACGATACGCAGCTCTTTGCTCCTGCAGCTCTGCTGGATGTATAAATTGAGAACTGTTTGCCAACACTTGGTCATAATATGTAACGACTTTGTGTTTCTCTGCTTTTTTCTGTTTTAGCATTTTTAAGCCCACAAGTGGAAAAAAAAAAACATGAGTTATTGCAGCTTTAAACTAAATATAGGCGCTGGCGCCTGCTGGTGTTTTAACACTCACATTAATATTTTATTAAACACTGGGTTATCTATTTTTTAGAATTATTTTTGCAACTCTTTGTTATATCGTGGTTTGTCTCCTGAGATTTTTATTTTGGTACTAAATAGTTAAACAAGTACAAGTTGTATTGTTCTTTAAAAAGAGAAATAAATGATCTTTACTGCTAACACACACTGTGTCTGTCTCTCACTGCTATATGACCAGATATTCCCTGTAGTTCTGCTCCTCCATTACCTACTGAACAATAAAGGTCTCACTGTGGCTCACTTCATTAGCTCTTTCTCTTTTTTTTCTAACATGTCTCTTATTCTGTTATCTCTGTGGAATTCATTCACACGTATATGCTTGCTTAGTCACTGCCCTCTCTCACACACACACCCACACACACACAGACTGTGATCACTTCATACCACTTGTCCCTCTGTCACCTTGTCTTTCAAATCCCTCTCTCCCAGACAAAGGAGAGGGAGGTGGAGTGCGTGAGCGACACACAGGACAGAGGAGGGAGTGAAGAGCCACTGGCATCAAGGTGAAGGAGAGAGAGTCGATGAGTGAGTATGATTCACACTGACAGGCAGTGAACTGACTCAAGTGTGGCCCAAGAAGAGATGAGAAGAACAAAAACTTTAAATTAATGCTGGTCTCGTTTTTGGATTTGCTGCCTGGAGGAGATAATATTTGTTCGAGGTAAGCAACTGTGAGGATTATCCGATTGAACAGTGGGAAAGATTATGTGTGATTAATGGATAGGTGTGTGAATATGACTGAGTGGAAACATACTGTTCAGTACTATACATACTGTCTTTATGCACTGACATGTTCGCATGTAAAACCCTCAGAACTGTAACTGTGCATTTTCCTTGATTTCCCATTGACCCAATGAACTTGTCTGAAGATGTTTGAATCTCCCCCTAAAGCCTCCTAAGCCTCAGTCCTTATCCCTGTTGACCCTTCATCATGGTGGACCTGTTCATCGATCGGGTCCTGGTGAAGAACAACAAAGAACATGATGAGCTGGACACGGATCGTGAGATTGTCATGCAGCTGCAGAACCGTATCCTGATGCTCTTCTTCGCCTCGGCTGCCAGCAGTTTGCTGTCACGCTCAGCGACTTCTTCAAACGGTTGACGGACGAATTCTATGTGGATCGCTCTGCTCAGCTGGTTCTCTTATACATCAGGTACAACACACACACACACACACAAACACACAAACACAAACACACACTAAAGTTAATTAAAGTTTTGTAAGTTATTTTTGAAACAGTTTTGTTTCGGTGAAATGCTCTTCATATCCTGATATAAAAAACAAAGTCTTCTGTGACCCTCACAGGACTGTAATTGTCATGACACTGGCAGGCAGGCAAGTTGTAAGAGAAGATCTGTTTATTCAGTCCAAGAAACAGGCAGAGTCAAAACCAGGAGATCAAAATCAGGCAAACAAATCTATCAAGGGGCAGGCAGGTATCTGAAGTCCAAGAAGGCAAAACAGGGTCAGAACAAGAGGGCAAAAGTGAAAATACTGGAGAGCTTGGCAAAATACAACACAAGACAATCTGGAAGGGATCAAGTGAAAATGACTGGATTATATACTGAGGAACTAATGAGCAAATGGACTGCAGGTGAGGAGGTGGGCGGGGAAAACCAGGAGAGGGAAATGAGATGATTGCAGGGCAGGGAATAAAGGCAGGCTCTGAAATGACAGGAGAGTTACTGATGAGTCATGGAACCAAAATAAACATAAAGACAAACTAAGAGTTAGTGTAACTACGTTACAGTAATAAACACGACTGATCATTTCAGTCGGAACAAATGAAATGATCGGCTGGCGTACCTGTCTGTCACTAACAGACCTGCCTGTGCTCTCATGAAGCCACCACTGAAAAAGAGACAATAGTCACAAGTTAGCATGTGAGTGTCATAAATGTCAGCCTCTAACGGTTGTCAGGGGCGTACCTGTCAGCATCCAATGTCATGCATTTACAAAGTAGGTGTGTTTGTGTAACCTTAATCTTAATCTGTTGTCTCAAATGATGCTGAATATTCTCAGATGTGATATGTCGTTCCATCATTTCCTTCTCAATCATGCCTTCTCATCTGTTCATATCTTCATCAGAACCAAGTATCCTCATAAGAGCAGAACAGACATGAAGACATTGACCTTTAAAGAGATATTTTTAAGTTGAATTTTAAAAACCCATCCATATTTCCCAGCAAGTGATTTCTCTTTCATTCATCAGTTTGGACGAGTCAGAGGAAGAGCAAGAGAGCTTCCTCAAAGAGCTGCCCAAGAAGTGCCTGTTCCTGGCCTATGAGGACCCCTACAGGAGGTGTGTGAGACTGGCCAGTCAGTTGTGTGCACACCCTGCTGATGGATGATTGCAACGTAAATATACCACCCTGCCTTAATCCATTAGCTCTGTGGCGATGTGTATGCCAGCATGTGTGTGTGTGTGTGTCCACAGGGAGCTGGAGGCCATGTTTAATGTGGAGGAGCTGCCCACAGTGGTGGTGCTGCGGCCTGACTGCTCCATCCTCGCCCCCAACGCAGTGGAGGAGATCCTGTTCTTTGGCCGGCACTGCTACCGCAACTGGCAGGAGGCGGCGGAACTCATCGACAGGAACTTCATGATCAGTGAGGACTTCGAGGGGAAATCCATGCGCAGCTTTAGCGACCCTGTGAGAAGACTCAAGTACAAGGTGGAAGATGAGAAGAAGAAAAAGAAGAGGAAGAAGGGCAGAGGTTGGGGTAAAGGCCGAGAGGGGGAGGTGGATGGAGAAGAGGAAGGAGGAGGAGGAGGGACATGGTGATGAAGACGAACAGCAAGAAGGAGAGACTGGAAAGGTTGCCATGATTAGTTCAAGCAATATTTCACAATGAAATATCAGACATTAATTAAAAAGTAGAAAAACTGATGTTAGTTGTGATTGGTCCTGACATCAAACACACCTCTGTCTGTGCACATGCTGACTACTAATAAAAAGTAATGTACCACACTGATGGAGCAATAAATGCTGCTACCTCAGCCAGACTCAGGAATGTCTTTGAATTCAGCCAAAAACCCAGTCAGGCCAAGGTTATGTCTGAGCCAAGTCTAACCATTACAGCTTGTTTTATTACACCATGGAGTCTATTCTGATCATTCCTCCATTTTCTATAACACGGCTCTGAAATCTATTTCTTTTTTTTCCACATGATGATTTGTTGCATCCAATCAAAACACGCCATCCACAATCTGAAACCAATGAATTAATCAGCACCATTAAGATAATTTTGTTTTATTGAGTGTTTATGAAAGTCATGCTGCACTTTACAGACTACACACAAGAAGCAATCAGAGCTATTCAATGGTATGCAAGTGAAATAATTGAAAATCTGGCTTTTATACATAATCAGTGATTTCCTTTAACTAACTCTGACTCATCGTCTTCTGCACCATAGAACGTGTTCAGCCTTTGCACATTTCTGTGCACACGGAAACTCTACTGATGATGCTTTTACATGTGATCAGTCAGAATCTTCATATGCAACATATCCACTAGCAACTACCACGCCCCAGTGATGAGTCTTTCAAAGGTTTCAATGGACACTGATGTGTTGGGTTTACAGGAAAGTGGAAGGGACGTTGAAGGAAGTGGTTGAGTTGAAGATGCCTCTCGTAGGCTAGTTTGGGAGGATGCACTGGTGACCGGGCGGATGGAGACTCAGTGTAGGGGGGTTCCGTCTCAGGCATCATTTCACACCAGCTTATCATGTGAATAGGTATGTGGGAAGGAGGATGAATTGATGTGGGTAGTGATGAGGGAAAGAGGATGAAGGGATGATGGTATTGAAGAGGAAAGGAGCATGAATGACGGATGAGCAGAGGAGGGGATGAGATAGAGGGATGAATGGATGTGGTATAGGAGAATGAATGGATGTGGATAGAGATGAGAGAAGGAGGATGAAGGGATGAGTGTATTGATGAGGGAAGGAGGATGAAGGGATGAAAGAAGGAGGATAAATGGATGTGGGTCAGGATGAATAGAGGTAGGGGTAAGGTAGAGGGGTGAATGGATAAATGGATTTGGGTAAGGTTAAGGGAAAAGATTAATGGGTGGTGATAGGGATGAGAAGAGGTAGGGATGAGGTAGAGGGGTGAGTGGATGTGGGTAAGGATGAGAGAAGGAGGATGAATGGATGTGGGTGAGGATGAGAGAAGGAGGATGAATGGATGT